CAAACAAGTAAATTTTCACTTTACCGAAAGTTGGTAAACAATTTATTACGGATTAATATTTATACAGCCCATATAATTTAGAATTATTGAAAAAGAATGCCCAAAAAACAGCACGGCGAAAAAGGAATCTTATGACTTAGATTTTTTCTAGGCATAGTAACAGTTGACAGTTCATCTTGTTCGGTCCACATTTACAATGATATAATATTATATCATCAATTTGATGTTTATATTATTATTTATAACTTTCATATCTGCATGAATCATTTTTATCCGATTTAAAATAATTAGAAAAACAACGCTTTTAGCAACTAAAATGTACAGATTTCGTAGATTGTAAAAGCTTTTGAGCAGCTCATCTGTTAATGGCTGACTATTGTCCATCCAGAAGATGAAAGACATGGATAAAGGCAAAAGTTTTTAGGAGAATAATTTCTTTTACAATTGTGTATTATATATAAATAGTTTTATGTTTTAACATATTTTCTGTTTATTTAAGTCGAATGGCGATAATTATTATTTTTTTAATTGAATACTGAGATTAGTTACATTAGCTGAAATTCGCTAATATAAAAGATAAAAAACATATAATATAACCAGCTTTTTCCTAAATTTAAGACAAAGGCTTTTACTAAGCTATTAGAGGACACACACATATACGTAACGTGCAATTAGCGTGACAGAATGCATTTACTCTATCGTACGCAAAATTTTACGTAAAAAGGAGAAAGGCGCGTAATTTTAAATCCATTACTTGCTGTAGAACCTCTACGTCGCTACGGCGTAGCTACCTGCAACACAAAGAACGAATAGCTGAATACTGAAACATTCAACTACGAAATGGATAAATAATGGATGCGGCATTAAATAATTATGTTATCATGTACGAAACAAACAATTTTCATTAAACCTACCGCAATTATCATGAAAGCTAAAGTAATTACTATGTATGACCTCACTTATTGTTTGAAACATGAAATGTAAGCTTTTATGTCGTATTTAAAATTTTGCAACTATGCGTTTTTATAGATGTGGTCTGCATTCAGAAAGATTTGTTTGATAAATCAGACAATATATGTCCTTCCATATCTGTATATTATTTACAGAACAACTATTACGAAGAAATTTATTAATAGTTTTAAATTGTGCATATTCACATAGGATTAATTTAGTCCTGAAATATTAAAAATGTGTGAGAGTGAAATTTTGTTTTTTTTTTAACTTTAAGTTTCTTATGTGTAATAAGAAATAATATATTTGCTTAACGTCGTATAGGAAACTCTTTATGCATTCGTGCACCATGTTTTGATGGAACATAGACGACAGTTTGCTTTTGTATAGAGATACGATAACGCTTTTATTAGGCTCCGCGCCGCAGAAAATAAAATAAAAGTGGAACTCGCGTAAGTACTGAGGGAAAATCATATTGTATACAAAGGAGGCTTCGGTTTTATAAAATGTTGATGTTTCCTATCGAATTTTTCTCATCTACCCTTGATCGAAATTTTAAATTAGCTTTATTGTGCTTGTGTGGGTATATTTCTATAAACGACTTATTGCTTAAATGTTTATTTCGTTTACCATCAATATTAATGTACCAGTAGTTAAGATTAAAAAATCTACCAAGTAATACACTCCAACATTAAATTGTTCAACACATATTTTTGATCGTTAAACATAATCCGGCATCGCCAAATTACAAGGGGTGTTCTAATTAATTAGAAGCCATAACTTGTTAGTGCGTCTTTGATTAAGCTGAACGTCTTCGCGAGGTTTACAAAGCATACATAATTAAGAGATTTGTGTGATGAGTGTTTGATATTAATATTATATTAAATAATTTAATATTAATGTTTTTCATAAAAATCTACAAGCTTAAGGAATCATATTTGTATTAATTATTTAATTTAAAACACTTATAAACGATTCCAAACAGAAAATATATTAGTTAACTTATTTACAATTTATTTTAACTACGCCGCAACGTTTGAGATGCTTTGCAACAGCCGGGCTCACGGGAGGATAGTTAAACTAAAAAAATTGTAGATAAATATACTTCGCGTATTAAATGTCAAAAGTGTTTTATTTAAACGTGTACTATATATATAAGAATATAAGTATATATATAAGATAAGAAAACAAAACCTTTTACAGACTGTTATACTTAGTCGACTACGTTAGTCTTACATACCTAATAACTCACATCTCTATTTGATTGTTATCGAGGAATCCTTCATTTTCCCCAATCGTTCACTCAAGCGTCATTACATTCGTTCATTTATTTTCTCGTGTTATGTTCATTATCGTACTTAAAATCTTATTAGGAAATTGCTTGTGGCTTTCAACCGATAAAAGGAAAATTTGTTAGGAAATTCGATTGTATAAATCATCCATAGAATGACAATACAAAAGATTACAATATTTCGTAAATGTTTTCAAAATATTGTTATACAAAATGTACACGGGTTTAAAATTCTAAACCTTTTTCCAATATCTCTTATTGAAATCAGCGTTGTTTGCTATCAATTAAATATTGAATTTTAACACTGTGTCGCTATATTTTTTTGCAATGTTTTATTTCACAAGCTCTTGGCTTATCAATAATATATCTGACATGGCTTTTGTAGCCCTTATATACGTTACAATACAACAAAACCTATAAGTTAGAAATACTTATGCTAATATACTTTTGGTTTATAATAAACAGCTTTATGTTGTAACAGTTTCTATTTAAAAAAATACTCGTGAGTCTATACGCCCTCATTTATGAAAAATACGCGCCTTTTCTCAGATGATAGGAGTACTCCGAGATACGGAAACATCTAAAATCTTTAGACAATTGTAACTTGAAGCTATAAATCATAATGTTTCAACCGTCTGTCTGGGTAAAGTACACTCAGTCAGATAATCGGGTACGTTTAAAAGCTGTCACCGGCTTAGCTCCCCCTCCTCCCCGCGAGAGGAGAGGAGGCTGGGGTGGCACTTCACGTGCGTTTTGACGCGATTATCATACCCCGCCGGTATCTGAGCGCAATATTGTTTGCAGGGTGCTTGATGTTCGAAGGATGGATGCGCTAATGCCTTATAATAATCTAAATTATTTTTTTATCATATAAGTTTTTTTCTTAATATAGAGGAGGACAGATAAAAATGTGGTTCACTTGATAACCCCACTTGGAAAGAAATACCACAGCCATATAACACCTAAGCAGTGGCGACTCGTAGCTTAATAGGACTTATTACTTAGGTGCTTGCCAAATATTTATGCCATAAAATATGTTTAACATGAAATCAATACGACGACATTTTTCAGAAGCGAATGGCCAATCACTTTTTTTTAAACTTCGGTCCGTCCTTTTCATTACTCGTGCGGCGCTCGAGTAAAGAAAAGGTTGGATAGTGGTTGAACTCGGTTATACGATTCATATCAAATTTTTACACTGTCAGTATAAGTTTTCTCATGAACAAAATAGCACCTCCGAAAATTCGCACATCCTATCCACTCTTAACCACCCAGCCGCGAGCGACGTTTTTGAATCTGCTTCCTTTGTGACGGTTTTAATATGGAAATTAACGTTCGCTGCCGTGTGACAGAACACCTCCACAATCATATTATTTAGCCGTAAAAAGCCACGCGATACTCTTTTATCCCTCGGAAATAAAGCATTGAATAGCTTAACTGGGCTTTTCCTTGTAAATTTTGTCGTTTAAATCAGCAGATTAGAGCGCTGTTATTAATATTTTTAAATTTATAATTTGAAAATCACACTTTTAATTTAAATAGATAGAAAAGCTTTTGATATACTAAACAAGTTTGAAACAATAAGGGTTGTAGATGTACAAATATGTCCGTTATTTTATGTTGTCGTAAATCACTTAGAGCATTAAGTGAAGATTTAAGACAATATTAAAAATTCTTATGAGACGTGTTTCAACAATTTTTGATCAGTTATTAAAGAGAAACTAATGAAATTAAATCGACTAAATTATATTGAGTCTCAAATTATGAAAAAATCTATATTCATGCGCTTGTTTTTTACCCACTAGGGTGGAACGCAGCGTACTTATTTGCCCATCGTCGCGTACGTAAGATTTCATCACGCTCCCATCCACTGTTTGAATAGATCTGAAATTTATTGTACAACTCTCCCGCACCTCCCCTTCCCATCCATTGTCATACAAATCCGATACAGTATCGTTTTCACTTGAAAATCGCTCAATGATATGGTAATGTGACATTTAATTCTCATCATTTCGAGGGTTTATTAATGTGTAGATACGAGTGTGTGTGCGTAGGAGTGTGATTTATCGATTTTGCTTTTTATACTTCAGTACTTACTTAGTAGTTTATGATTTCTATAAATACATTTTTAATGTGTAAATGTTAGTTTTGATTGTCTTACCGTTTGTGAAAAACGCTTTAGAAGCTTCTAGGGTGGACGTGTAAAACTCTAGTTATGGTATCTCTTGTGGGGTTAAACAATATTTACATTAATTATTATTCTTTATAAATTAATCATGTACACATGTCACAGATTAAATCACCTCTTCTCTCGTGTAAGACAGGTTGGCAACAAACAGTAAAATATCCTGAATGCACATTCAAATTCGTATTAAAAAAGGAACAAGGCATTCGTTTCGAGCCCCTAAGAGCGGATGTGTATAGCATTCATTGGAATACCGAATATTGGCAATAAAACTGCGCTGAGCTGAAAAATCGATGTCGACAGACGAATGTGTACATCACTATAGTTACACGTGGGGTGATAGATGTATCGAATGAGCACATCACTGAATCTAACGAAATTCAGATTATATTGATGTTTTTATATCAATGGAGAATTTATTTCATATATCCAAATGATGTTCACTTATGTCTATTATTATGTTACTTAGACCTTAAAAAGTAATTTAAGTGTACATATCAGATATCTGATCAGATATTTTAGTAAACAGATCTAAACTTCAGGTTTAACATATTATTTTTTATTGTTCCAGACATGAGTTCCGTACAAGAAGAGAAGCTAGCTGACGGCGCTCCAAAAACACACGTCCGCGAGCTACGGAATACAGAACTGGTGTCGCGTCTACTAGCAGCTACCCCGCCATACCTCTACAGCGCTTTACCCCTGCAGCCTCACGCGTTCTTCTTCAGTGAAATGCTCCGGTCCTTCGTTAATGCGCGACAAGGTTGTCGTCCACCGCACTACCATCGTCGACTGAAGCGCAGATCCCACAAATATTTCGCAGAAAACGAAAACGACTGGCGACGTGATTGGCCAAAACCAGATGAAGAAAAAAAAGAGGAGGCTAGACCAGAGGTTCCTTTAGAGCTTACTGTGGATAAACAGGCCCGGGATTGTGACCCTTTACCACGACGAATGTCACCTAAAGCTGAGCCACCCAAATCGAGCGGTAGCCCAGGTCCTCCCGGTAGGCAGTCTACCTATGTTGATGTAGGGACCGAAGAACTACCAAAACCTTCGCCGTGCGTACCACGAAACGTCGAACCTGTACCGCAACCTAACTTAATACTTCCTCCACCGCCACCGATGTGGTATCCACCGCTTTACAACCCACATTTAGGGGTGGATCCCTTAAATTTCTTTATAGATCTTCGTGTCTCCGGACATATTTATGATAGGAAGCGCACTGACGATCAAAATAGTGCTGAAGTACGACCGGAGGAATCGCTAGAAAAGCGTTTGGCTAAAGATTTTGGCCAGAGACCAAGGCATTTGTCGGCTTTCTCTGTGCCAGTGCGTGGTACAAATACAGATGATAAGTATTTTGAGAGGGATAGTGGATATAAAAATTCTGGCACGTCTTATGTAATGAAGAATATAAAGCGCGTATACGGTGAACTGTATAATCAGGAACATAGGGATGCAAAGGTCGCCAAGATTGACGAAAAGTCTGATGTAGAAGATGAGCACAATTTGACAGATTAAAAACTAACTCTTTGCATTTAAAGATAAAAGTGTTTAGAAAATCAATTGCTATCTTATCCAATTTTAAATGTATTAAAGTAGGTAACAATATTCTACTTCCTCGTAAATTAATATTCACCGACTATGTATTTTAAATTGATAAGTATTATTGTTGAGTTTTAAAGATAGCAAAAGTTATACTAATTGTTATTTAAGAAATTCCGCTCTGCTTGAAATCGAACACTGCACTTTCTCTCGTTTCGAATTTTATAGTGTTCCAAGATTACTAAAAAGTAATTTTTGAAAAACTAGTCATAATTAAAACTATTTAATATCTATCAACTATTTACTGAGCTAAAATTGTAAATATGTATGTACTTATAACCTAACAAAAAGTATTAATAAGTATTTCATAATAATATTACTACTTATACTTATCTTCCTTGTCTTGTGACGTTGATCAAAAAGTAATTTTAGTAGATAGACCGTTATGATAATATGTTTAAAATAATACGATTAGTGAGTAAAGATATCAAGTTACAATGTAATAATTCAAACGCGTATTCTAGTTATATTAAGAATCTTAATATCAAAAAGCTGTAACTAAATTGAAAATAAAGTTTAATAATTATTATATTCCTGTTAATAAATTGGTCAAAATTATTGTGTCTTATTTACAGATTTTATGCAATAAAAAGAAGTAATGTCTAAGTATTTCTGACCTTTCCTTTTGGATGATGAATCATGATATTCACTTCCGAGGTGATGATTGTCAAGGGTAGTTAATAGTTAGTACTATAATATGTACTGCAGAGTGCAGACAGCCAAACAGCATTATAATAATATGATCTATTTATTATCATTCGGAGCGCCGTCTTTTATGCTAGCTTTAAACTAATCACAAAAGAACAAGGATCTACATGTAAGTACAAAATTGTGAATGGATAGGTAAAAAATGTTATTTATTAATTACCATAGTAAATACAGTAATAAAATAAAAATATACTTTATTTTAGAAATTAAACATTTTAACAGATTATTATAATTGATAGTCTGTGGTATATTTATTTTCCACTACAACCTTTGTAGAACGTTGCTATAATAAAAAAATCTGACAAAAATTTTGACATTGGCAACTCAGTCACAAGTTGAAGTCACCACGCGAGTTGAATTATTTTCTATAATTTTCTGATAACTTAGAATTTTGCCAAAATGTACGGACAGCAACCAATAATTGTTTTGAGTAAGTAAATTGTAATATATTGTGGGCGTTTCAATCTGCATAGTGACTCATTATAAACAATTTCTTTCAGGCCAAAATACAAAACGTGACTCCGGCCGGAAAGTTCAACTTGAAAATATTAACGCTGGAAAGGTAAAGGGCCATTTCAAATACTTAAGCATGTGAATTTTCGATATGTTCAACGTTTTTCAGTTATAATTTTTATGGTATGTTGTTTATTTTAGACGATAGCGGACGTTATACGAACATGCCTTGGGCCTCAAGCTATGTTAAAAATGTTGATGGACCCCATGGGAGGGATCGTAATGACAAACGACGGTAACGCTATCCTCAGAGAAATCACTGTCCAGCATCCAGCAGCAAAATCCATGATAGAAATTGCCAGAACTCAAGATGAAGAGGTTAGGATTTATATTTGTGTTTTCTTTGTTAAAATACTTAACCTTACCACATCTATTGCTTCGGTTTGATAATTTTGGGAATGAAGCCCTGAATAATTTACAATCTAAATATTAAATCATTAAGAAGTGTATTTAACGCCCCTTGCATTTGATTACCATATCTTATATATTTTTCTATTGTGAGTTATATGACATGAGCTTATATACGATTTTAATTTTTATACAGCTGGCCTAAGTTCCTTACTTTATTATGAGCTACTGTAACAGTGCAAATCATGTTTGCTTCTTAAGGACAATTGCGATCCAAATCATGTCTGCTTTGTTTACTTACAAGCCTGAGAAGTCATATAAAAATCTAGGGTGTTTTGGATTCATTTTAACCAAATTTGTATAAACAACACATTTATACAAGTATTATTTTTCATAGGTTGGTGATGGAACAACATCAGTCATTGTGTTAGCTGGAGAAATCTTAGCTGTGGCAGAACCTTTCCTGGCTCAAAACATCCACCCCACCGTTATCATCAGAGAGTATAGACAGGCTCTAGAGGATGCTGTTAAACTGCTTCAAGACAAAATCTCTGTACCAGTTGACCTGAATGACAGAGATAAGATTAAAGAAGTTGTATGTATTGTTAAGCAGTAACACTTGTATTCAAAGATATAAAAATTGCACTAAGAACTGACTTTTTATAATGATAAGAGTTTAAAAACTTTTGTAAAAACTAAATAGTTTTTCTATTTTTCTGTATACATTTTTTATAGATACTTAAGGCATCCCATAAAAGTTGTTGCTATTATCCCATATAACAAGTTTATTTGTATTAAGAGTAGCATTTTTAGAATGTACAACATTTCTATAATACTGAGGTTTAAACACTTAACTACAATATAACTCACGTTTCTTCTAGATTCGCTCTTGTGTCGGCACAAAGTATATTGGGCGTTGGGCTGACCTTGCTGTCGACATAGCCTTAGATGCTGTGAACACTGTGACGATCAATGATAATGGCAGGATTGAGGTTGACATTAAGAAGTTAGTAGCATTTCAATTTAATATTTAGTGTAAACTTAAAACAATTGTACAAATTCAAATTCTTGTCAAGTTATATGGCTTGAGGTGGAACATAAGTGCCTAGTGTACATATTAATGCCTTGAGAAGAAAAAAATTTTAACTAGTTTATGTTAAAGCTAAAAAAATGTTTCAGCTATGCTAAAGTAGAGAAAATTCCCGGTGGCACCGTAGAAGAATCTAAAGTACTCAGTGGTATTATGCTTAACAAAGATGTGACACATCCTAAAATGAAGCGTTTCATTGAGAACCCAAGGATTCTTCTTTTGGATTGTCCCCTTGAGTACAAGAAGGGAGAGAGTCAAACTAACATTGAGATTGTCGGAGAACAGGTAAACTCTTTGCACAGTATGAAATTCCGTGTCTTCAATATAGGAACCTTACTTTACTCATATCACTGAATCATATTAGCCAAGTACTCAGATTTAAAATTACTAAACTATTGGTCTGGTTGAAAAACTAATTATATGCTATATTGTAGCCATATTGATAACCTAATAATTTAACTAAATTGTGATGAAAAAACTTTTGTTTCAGGACTTTACAAAACTACTGCAATTAGAAGAGGAGCATGTACAGAGACAGTGTGCGGACATCATTGCCTTGAAACCTGACATCGTTTTTACTGAGAAGGGAGTCTCTGACTTGGCACAGCATTATTTAGTTAAGGCTGGCATCACAGCTATTCGCAGGTATTACTCAAGGTTTTGGTACATATAACTAAAATGACTAAATAGAAAATCAAATTTTATAAACACATATGTAGAACTACTCTCTTAAGTATATATTATGTACATAAGTGTAGTATAGTAATTATATACATACATGCAAGTAAGTTACAAGCATGCTTTGATATTTAATTATTTTTATGTTAGCTACATATTTTTTTATACTTTCCTTGGTCAGTTTGTAAATTTGAGTTGAAAGTAGTTTTTGCTGAAAAGTTAAGTAATATAATACATAAGATTGGCATTCAACAGTACTTCCATAGTAGCTCAGTTGGTAAACGCAACAGCATAGATCGCCGTGGTCTTAGGTTCGCTTCCCGTCCGTCATTGATTTTTGCCAACTAATTTTTTTTTATAGTAATGAAGAATGTTTGGGTTAGGTTAGTTACTTTTTTATGCTTGACAAAACAATATGTTACATATTTTATTTAGGAAATTATTGTGAGCAAATATTGCAAATGTAATGTTTTCTTATTTAATAGACTGCGTAAGACGGACAACAACCGCCTTGCAAGAGCATGTGGAGCGACCATAGTAAACCGTACCGAAGAACTGAAAGAGAGCGATGTGGGCACACAGGCTGGACGTTTCGAAGTCAAGAAGATCGGAGATGAGTACTTCACATTTGTCACCGAGTGTAAGAACCCCAAGGTGAGTTTAGTGAAAATGTTATTTACTTATCTTGTAATATTTGGCCTCAAGAAGAATGAAAATGAGATACTATTGTGCTTTTCATTTACAAGTATGCTACAAAAGTCAGAAGAATTCTGTGCAATAATTGTACTTAAAGTATTATAAAATTTCTTTACTCATTTTAAATTGGTTGAAAGTTTTTTTCTCTCTTCCTGATATAAAAAATGACTTTTGTTCAATTTGTACTATTTTACTTACAATGCATTTATATACCTATGTGTTTTTTATGGCTTATGTGATGAATCAGTATTTTTCAACTTAATTTCAGGCTTGCACTATTCTGCTACGTGGAGCATCCAAGGACGTGTTAAACGAGATTGAAAGGAATCTTCAGGACGCTTTACACGTTGCTAAGAATTTGGTATGTTCAATAATCATTCTTTCATTTATGAAAGTGTTAAAACCAAAGTAGCCTTACAAAATGGCCGCGAAAGTCTTATACAATTATATAATGAAAATCTCATTATTTGGGAGTAAAAATTATAACGTATACAATTAAATATTATTAAATAAAAAAAAATTGCCATTAAAAATAAAATTTGTTTTTTAGGTGTTAAATCCACGATTAGTGGCTGGTGGTGGCGCAGTAGAAATGGCAGTATCTCAGGCGTTGTCAGCCAACGCCTCACACAATACACCATACAGGGCGGTTGCTACAGCACTCGGTTAGTAGCAAATTAAGATAATTTGCCTTGTATATGTTACATAAGTTAGCAGAAAACGATGAAAGGTATTGTTAAAAGCGTCTGTTGTTTTTAAATACAGAAAGTGGGTGATTGGGTTGCTGTAAAGACGCACTTATGTTCCCCTCGAATTCGAACTTAGGACCTCTCGCGCCTTACGCTCTTTTTTGTACTAAGGCATTGATTATTGTATAGATATCCGATTTATTTAAACCTACCATTCGTATTATATAAAGCTTACCCATAGTTATCAACAGTACTAATCTGGGTATTTCATTTCATTTAACTTATGGGCACTTGCATTCACAAAGCATCTGTGTCAAACTTATTGATTTAATATTATTTTTATTCTATTTTCTTAACAGAGATAATACCGCGCACGCTAGCGCAAAACTGCGGCGCGAACACGATCCGCACTCTGACAGCGCTGCGCGCTCGTCACGCGGCTGGTGCCAGTGTTGCCAGCACCGCGGGAATCGATGGTGAAACTGGAGAAATCGTGGACATGGCAGCAAAAGGCATCTGGGAGCCATTAGCTGTCAAGTTGCAGGTAAGGGAACTATTACATATAACCGATTGAACACGAACTTCAGAACTGGTTTAAAAGTCTTATCGGGTAATAAAATAACTTGCATGTCATTGCAAGTTATTTTATTGAAAACCACATCGAAAGTGGGAAATATAATTAAATCCATTTCTGTTAATCTTGCTTTTATGTCTTAAATTTGACACGCGTTCTATACTTTCTGAAATTCTACAACAGAACTTAAACTCTACATCAGAGTAAAAACACAGACTTAGGAAGGAAATCTTAGTACTTTATCCTATGCAGAAAGCACAGACTCAATTCCATTTCAGTTTTATCAATCTATGTGTAAAATATAGATTTTCACAAATATCTAACACATTTCAGGTATACAAAACGGCAGTAGAGACAGCAATAATGTTGCTCCGGATCGATGACATCGTTTCCGGTTCAAAGAGGAAGGATGGAAAGGAACCCGCTACGCCCGCGCAGATGGCACAACAAGAATAAATCACTAATTGAGCTTTACGTGCGCATATTCACCGGTATTACCGGATACTAAGAATTCGTAACGTGTAAAGAGATATTTTCATGAAACACTTGACCATACACTTAGGACTTGAACTAGCATCTACAGCGATCTAAGCTGCTGCTTTGACCAATTGAGCTACCATGTTATGTAAAATTAAATTTCTCAATCATTTCATCTAGTCTAGAAAACAAGACATAACAAACAAATTCTTATGTCACTTGAAAGGTGTGATATTTAAATGTTTTAGTGGAAATTGTTTTATTACACTAGTCTCTGGGTTAAGAAAAGAATATATTATCAGCCGTTAACAATATATCTTAGATGTAATACAGGTGAATATGTTGCAAATAAAACATAGTAAGATAACAATCCACTATAGTTTTATACGCTAGATAACATTTAACAATTTAACATAGTGTCAGAAGGAACAGCTTTGCTTTTATTGTATTAAGTATTTTGTACTTCTTGGAGGGCAGTACATTTTTTGCAATAATTATATTAATTGCACTATATAGTCCAGTCACGTGCTTTTTGACAGTCAGTTTGAAATGACTGTTGCAATCTTTTATGACTGGTCTAATTACTATTTTAATTGAGACCAAATAAAGTTTGGAGCTTCGAATGAAAAGAGATTTTGTCCTTGTCACACAGCGTAACTTAGCGATGCATTAATGTAGTTTTTAACTATAATTAATTTTATTTAATAACATTTTCGTTATTTATAGTTTTGTGGTCAGTTTAACTCGTGAGGTCGCATTTATGTTACACGATGCTGTTCGGATGGAACAATTATTATTATAGTATTAAAACATTTTGAAAATTTTATATTGTTTTATTTCATTATAAATTATAGTTTTTTTATTATTAAGTAATTAATTATTAAGCTAAAAAATTAATCGCACGTTACACTGAAATCATTTACTTCTGGTAGAAGATCAACTAAGATTTGCATTGTTGAGCCAGGACAAAGACATTACGTAAAATGCTAATATTCAGGAAGCTTTGTACGTATTTCTAGTGGGGTTACACTGTATGAATCGATCAGATAACTGACACGGCTGTGCTTTCATTGTGATATTTGAATTCCAAAAAAGACACCGTTAACGGAACTGTTTCCAATGTTACGTACATAAAATATACTATGATATTTAAATAATAGACTGACGGTTTAAAACGCACAATATATTATGTATATATGTGGTTAAAGTATAATATATTAGTACATTAAAAACCTAAAAATATATTAACTTATAATATTCCTACTATTATATATATTCGTTTACCTAATATATTTCGCGTTTTAATCCGTTAAAGTGTTTTATTTAAATAGACACAAATATTTAAACTAATTGTTATTCTTATGACTGCTCATTTTTTAAAAATAACTCTTTCTGCATTGAAAGACGCAGGGAAGCCCTGTTTTACCGACGCACCGGAATGATTTCAAATTAACGAAATATAATAAAGTGTACTTACGATCCTTCGACGAATTCTTTTTATAGCATCATGTTATGTTACAAAAGATTGTTATACCAAAATAGATTTAAAAAGGTTTCAATATAAGCTTATTCCTAAGAATTCATAGTGTAATTATTATTATTAGTTTAAAGTTGGTTTATTTTTTTCAACACTTTGTGTACAATGGGAACGCGTTAATATTGTGCTGTTGAACAAAACGCTCATGGTGCGTGACCAATGATTGACCGATGTCGTTTTGTGGCTTAAGGGCACCACAACATTATACCGGAGTCTCTGATCGGCTGCCGACCTCATGACGAGCTGCTGGTGAGTTTTTTACCTAATTAATAATAGCCTAATAGATATCTTAATCTAATTTATTTTTATTATGTATTAAGAAATGTATAAAAACATTGTTGGCCTCTTCAAAGTGCTAACTGATAGATAGTTTTGTTTAAATAAAACACTTTAACGGTTTATCATTTTCAAATAAGTTTTAGTTAAACTTATTTGAAAATGATTTTTAACTTCGGCCCGACGTTTCGGATGCTTTGCAGCAGCCGTGGTCACGGGGAGACTCATCATTTTCAAATAAGTTTAACTAATATATCGCGTTTTAAACCGTTAAAGTGTTGTATTTAAATGTGTACTACTCGCGTAAACTATAGACAGTAGATAGATTTGTCTTACCCTTTTATAACATTAAGGACGCCCCAATTGGCGTTACAATTTTTTTTACCTTTGCAGGTTTATCTCGATCATTTTCTACACTCGCACAAACGTTATTATTATTTTTACGCATAATCAAACATTCAATATTCTTTTAAAAATAAAATTTCAGTTGGCTTAAAATATTCTTTTGCGAATTACTTTTGAGTTTGCATTTTTTATCTTCCGTACGTATTACATCTTCCATCAGTGCATATGATACCTTCTCTGAGAGGATTTTTTCTCTAGCACTTGATCGTTTCCAGGAGTAGGTGCAGCTCATTATGATAAATCAGGTCAAATCCCTTCGTCTAGGTGAACAATGGGCTTTCAATGATAACGGGCCGATATCGGTAGTGAATAGGCTCCATCAATGAAAATCGTAATTCGTAAACCGAGATAAATGGAGCGTGACTATTTACCTGAATAAGCTAGGACGTTGCTCTGTGGGATGGCGAGTCTTTTCCAACGATAAAGTAAAGGATAAATAAATAAAATAACCTAGTACTTGTTACGGACGATAAATAATAACGTTTCGCAATATAACAAAACCGGCGCAACACCTCTACTGCACCGCTACTCTTTTATGTAGTGATAGTCAATGAGAGATTTTTCTTCAACAAGGAGCTCTATCGGTCTATTTCATCGTACCTCGCATTATTATAAATTGTATTATTATTATACTAAAATTTATCTAGAATTTTCTGTCGTATTGATGTCTATGCGTTTCGTGAGATGTTATGACTTAAGATACATATAATTTGTTACTTAGGTTTAATATTTTGAAGAAAACTGCGTCTAATAACATATATTGTAATCATTAATCGAAAGTATCGGCCGAAATGTTTATGTCGCTTTTAATACTGGAACACTGATCTGAGTTTTTAAACCTTCTCTTCTATGAGAGAGGAGTAGGTGGATGAAAGTAAATTAAAAACGACGTAGAAATAAAATAGACTTAACATTCAATATGTATATTTTTTATTTAATAAGCTAAGAGTATTAATAAAACTGTGCATTCCCACTGTTTCGGGTAATGGCGATTAGTGCAAATAAAATAATTTAGGCAGACTTCACGGTCAGTGCGTTGTGTCCACGTTTCCGTCCAATTTCATCACATCCGTCCCTCAATCAACAATACTATTATTTGTATAATATTCGTTAATTATGTACATTTTAACGAAAGTCCATACTTCTGTACATTAGAATTTCGTTATTTAGAGACTAAAAAAATAAAGGTAAGATTGATATTAAAATCGATATTACTTCTTAAACTATAGTAGTTTAGTAAAAAGACTGTGACAATTTTGACAGAGCAACACAGCAAGTGAAGGAATGGGACAGCATGGAGATCTTAAATTCTTTTTATAAAAAAAAGTCAACACTACAATTTCTTTTATAATTGTAAGAACATTCGTAAATGATTATTTTTAAATCATAAGTTAGATTTACGTCTCTAATATAGAATTAAAAGGTAAAATAGATAAAAATACTGTAAATTATAGTAAGTGAAAACTATTCTAAGAGTACATATTATTATTCTGGGTTGAGAAAATACAGCTGCAATAGTGGCTAGCGATTATTTGTAGGTAATATAATAATGTACATAATCACATTTCAGTTCGCAATGACTACAATGAGAATTATAATATTGGTCTTCGCGCTTTTTCTACATTCTGTCACGACGTTCGAAGTACAGCAAGTCGTCGACGAGTCAACTCAGGTTAGTTTATCTTTTGTTATATAATTTTAGTAACACAGTCGCCAACGTCCATACCACGTTGAATACACCGGTTCTCGTCCGATCACCGAAGTTAAGCAACGTCGGGCGCGGTCAGTACTTGGATGGGTGACCGCCTGGGAACACCGCGTGATGTTGGCCTTTTTGCTGAATTAAATTTTAGGATCCGCATCTTTTTCATGTAAACTGTGTGTGTATTTTTGGGTTATTTTTTTATTGTATGACATAAGTTAATGGAAACAACATAAATAAGATTTATATAGTTTTTGCTCGCTGAGACAACATTTAACCAATAGTAGATATTTTCTCGAGTAAAATAATATTTTTTTAGCTAAACGTAATTTCAACTACAACAATTTAAAACTTCTTTTACAAATATTCTCCGACAACACTATATTAAAAAATAATACCTTTTATGATTTGCACATTGTTTTGATTACTATTTTCGGCTGAATACTCGCCAACGTCCATACCACGTTGAATACACCGGTTCTCGTCCGATCACCGAAGTTAAGCAACGTCGGGCGCGGTCAGTACTTGGATGGGTGACCGCCTGGGAACACCGCGTGATGTTGGCTTTTTGCCAACCTGCCTAGTAGTTTTTATTTGCATTTAAAGATGGCTTTTGCCTTTATATACGTTAGGAGGTTTTAAAACTTGTTTAATGGAAATAAACATTTATTTATTTTATTTAGGAAATCAGCGAAGATAAAAGAAAATGCATTTGTATGAGCTAAATTTAAATGAAAATTCTCGCTTTTGTTGTTACTAATACGAACAAGAGTTATAGGATATATAGGTATATTCCTGCTAGTAATCTCGTTTGTTATGATAATTTCAGACAAATGAAGAGATACCTCGTGGCCGGCGGGATGTTATCGAAGAGGAAAAATACTACAACATACGTACTGAAAACAGAAGAGACATCAACCACCAACCCTGGCTACCTGCGCCATTACCCCCAGAGGATCCCACTACGAAGATTTCCATTACCACCGAGCATCGTGAACCCCTATATCAACAGACCACAGAAATGATAACAGACAAACCAACCGGTCGGGGAGCTCGAGCATCCAACGAGAACTGGGTAAAACTCCCATACCCCAACCAAAATGACGTCACCAATCTCAGCCCCCCAAAACCCCCAAGCGACCTCATCAGCTCGCGGATGCCCCGAGTCAACTTCGTAACGCAAAACAAACAGTTAGAAGCTTCCGAATCGAGGAATGATAAAGAGGCCATTCAGAGAGAAACACGCAACGATGATTTAAGAACAGAGTTCGTAAGACCGGACGAAGACCGCCACTACAAGCCCGTGTACCCTCGACAAGCCGTTTATTACCCGGAAGACACCAGACGCCAGTACTACGATGATAGATATTACGCCCCTGACGATTTATACAGACGCGACCCGTACTATGATATTTACGACCGCAAGAGGTATCCGGGCGCTAGAGTGGACAGATACGACGATACATACGACAACTACGTGCCGCGGAAACCGAAGAGGATAATATACTATGCGCATCTGCCCGAGGTGGTACGCACGCCGCCTAGCGTCGATTTAAGATACCGGTATTCCGTCGATCCCTACAGACGTTTCGACGACGACTATAACGCGAGAACCGGTCGATACGACTATAGATTCAGGAATAGATACCCTTACGCACCGGTTAGGAAAGACGACCGAAGATTTGGGTATAGAGATTTAGCTGGCGCCGGAACTGCGAATAAAGATAAGAAAGTTGACGAAAAAGTCACGCCCACACCGATACAGCCACAAAAGGATGATAAGTATAAGGCTACGGGAAACAGAAATGCTAATAGAAACACCATCAACAGTCACCAGTACCACGATTCTGGTGATGCCTATAACGATCAGTTAGCTCACAAGGCGTTTAAAGAACCAGTGAGATCCGATGATAGTTTCCTTAGATTTGAAGAACCGCTTTTCCACAGCACCATAGACAATTATCAGAGGAAATACTGATTCAAGAGTCGAAACACTTGTAATATGTACGGTATAAATGTAATAAGTAATGGTTGTTTTAATTATTCCGAGAGAAGAGTTCGCGACAAATTGTACGAGTAATAAATCGAGCGTTTAAATTAAAACGCGGGAGGGTGAAGATGAATTTCATTAAGAATTAATTAATGTCATTCTTGGGCCGTTTTGTTTTTCCGGACGAATAAAAAACATCTGTCGGGATGTACGAGCAGCGACGCGTTTTCTTGAGGTAATTAAGCAATAAATTTTGTGGCTGGCAACATCGCGAGGTGGGGGCCAATTACGTTGCGCATTTAAGAAAATGAATGTTCACCACTTGATGGCGAGGGCTTATTCTGAATACTTGCTTGCGATATCGAGCAAACATTTAGTTTAGTAAGTTCATATTTAGAGTAAACTTGATATTTAAAAAAAACACAATGCAATTCATATTTAAATAAAATAAATATTAAAAAAAAACAAACCTAAAACTGTTAAATATTTTATACTTGAGCGTATACACAATCAGGTCAGTATTTTATAAATTATTGCTTGAAGATACATTCATAGTATTGACTTGTGCTTGATTCAAATCAGAAATGAAGATACTATTAAACATGCAACTTTTTAAACATTAACTCAAACTTAGACTTGGTTTCGATAATTCTCAGAATAAGCCCGCCAGGACGTTTCAAAGCCATCTTGACTAATTACAATTATGGGCTTAGAAAAAAATCCTACGACATGACAGCTTGTAATCAGGAGAATAGATTTGGTGTGTTCTCGCTGTTTTTTAAACGTTAGGGCCAGAAGTGTTCGCGGATTAATGTGACCGCGATAAATTACACGTAATTAAATGTTTCGTGGGGTCCCACTTGGGATGATGAAAGTATTTAGCTTAAGCGATTAAAATTAGCATTTTAGGGGTGATGTCAATGTTTAATTAAAAAATAAGTTGACGTCTTTGAAGTTACTTTTAAAAAGTACTTCGTATGATTTTATTTATCTATACTAATATCATAAATGCGAAAGTAACTCTGTCTGTCCCGTTTTAACTCCGTAACTACTGAACTGGTTTAAATGAAATTTGGTGCACAGATATTTTAGAGATTTTTTAAATGCCAAAAAATGATAGGAGTTAAAAAAGGGAATGAAACTTTCTTCTTTGGCTTTTTGAGAATAGGAGTGGGAATGAGTGTAGGGATTAGAGTGGGAGTTAGAGTTACTTTCGTATTTATAATATTAGTATACATTTTGACTTTGGATATTCTGAAAACCACAGATTGAAACCGAAACGCGATTAAAATTCACGGCGTTTGCATTTGTGGATGGTGGTTCGTCCCGACTGAACTTTTCGATATTCTAACACCAACATTTTTAGACAAAGTCCAACATATTTCAGAAACAATATAAATTGATCGCGGGTCATTGATTATAAGTCGTACTTCGCTACCATTAGGCCAACGAGCCCGTCAAATAAAGGTAATAATAATAAACCATGGCGGATGCTGCTTCTCATAATAAAATCATAGTGGCTAGGGCAAGGGTTGACAGATGCGGACCCGGGGCTACGGTACCACATTACATAATTTGCCAAACAGAGGCTCTGTCTTGAGGCGAAATTCATTACGGAACTGTCTTGAGTACAGACAGCAAACTAAACAGACAGACACTGATTTGAGGAAACCATTTTGTGACAATCGTAAAGTTTGATGTGATTAAGTGGTTTTTTTATCACATTTTAAAAACAGCTTTATGTTATAAAACAGGTCATAAGGCTTAAAAAACTTATTGCTGTTTTATTTGCTTTGCTTTATATTATTATAATATAATAATGTACTTTAAACCGTTTGTATTTGAATTAGTTTGTTTAAACAAGCTCAGGTATGTTAGTTTTGACTTCAGAAATTATGCAAGACAGCATGTCTATTATTTATAATTAACTCGCAAAAACCGTTTCTATGGCAATCAAATTTGGTAAAAATTATTGCATTATTAGCAATTGTTTGTTACAGTTTTATGAACACAGCTATTAATCATGCAAACAACTAAACACCGTTTGCCGGATCGGCTAGTAAAACATATTAAAAAATCAACCTTTAAATATATGAACAAACAGTAGATTTATGCTATCCATACCTTTGATTCTGAATCTAATTCTGACCAAAACTGTTTAGCTAATTGGGTAACTTGTTTGATAAAGGTTTATATTGTATAGTATCTGTTTGTGATTAAATATCTCCACGGAGAAAAACTCAGTAAGCATCGAACATATAGTACTAATGTAGAAAGTATGTGAAAATGAAATATACTTACATTAAGTTTTTAGTATTGCTACAAATTTGTTTTTAGTATTGTAACATAACTAATTATTGACTCACGATTTGCTAAACATAACTTTTTTTTAAATAATGTCTGATGTCTATTTATCTTTGATTTATTTTTCGTTAAATTTGTATAACAATTGTGTGAACCATAACGATGTTTTTCAAAGGTTTCGTTTTAAACTCTTAGTGTCCCACGCCTGAGCACATTAACTGCTGCCAAGCTGCTCCAATGTGGTAGTGGTGATCACCAGAACTGATAGTTTAACGTGCTGTCCGAAGATTTGAGGACAGCAAACATCTGCTGCGTCCGGGCTGAGACTAATTATAACCCGGTTCCTTAGGATCAACGAGGCAGTACAAACCTAAACAACCAACCGAATTGATAACAATAACTGTAGTTATTAAATTATTTGACATACGATAGCCGCGGTGCGACGACACGACATCCCAACTATTAACATGTCGATAACAATTTGCCGAATTGCCTTTATGTTGATACACGACCCTTACGAAAGGGGTATGGCTAGGGTTGGCACAAAATAATAATAACAATATATGTATAAGATGGGTTCTTGTAAAAACACAATACAATATTTTGAGACACAATTTCTCTTAATACATTACAGTTCATCATTAGTCAGTTAGTCATTAGAAATAAGAGTTTTATTAATTAGATACAGATCAACAATTTTTCTGCAATTTGTTGGACTTTGTAAATCTGGATATTAAAATTTCGACATTAATAATGTCGAATCCTGTCCAGGTCGCGAACCACCATCCACAGACGTAAAAGCCATGATGTATTTCCTAATAAAATACTGTCTATAGTTTACGCGAGTAGTACACATTTAAATAAAACACTTTAACGGTTTAAAACGCGATATATTACAGTCTCCCCGTGACCACGGCTGCTGCAAAGCATCCGAAACGTCGGGCCGAAGTTAAAAAATAATTTTCAAATAAGTTTAACTAATATATCGCGTTTTAAACCGTTAAAGTGTTTTATTTAAATGTATTTCCTAATATCCAAAATATTTTAACACCGCATATTGTTTAAATGTTATGTTGTAGGGGTTTCAAGTGTTTGTTATGTTTGTCTGTCTTCCGCTATCATAAAAAATTGATGGTATTTCAAAATGATTTCAAGTGGTACGATACACCCCTAGCACTATTTAGTGAGGAGTTAAGTTTAAACAGTCTGCGAGGGAGGTTAAAGGTCCCAAGATTCGAGAAATTGATAATTTAGCCCCACACACTAACCATTAACATTAGTTATTCATTAAACAGCAAGTCGTCCCGGACATCGTTAATATTTACATTCATTGTCCCAACTTGTCCCGCGCAAATTAACTACGAAACGGATACGGTCGGATTATCCTGGATGCATCGTAAATAATACATTATTATAATTTATTTAGTTTCAGGGTATTAAACATTTGTGATACTCAAAAGTCTCTGGATCTACAAAACTTCTACTAACGCTTTGAAACGTCTTTCACTACTTATATTTATCTACCTTAGAGGTCATTTAAAGTTGAAATAAGCGACATAGACAACAAATTTTAAAACTAAATAGTAGCTTAGCTAGGTGGACAAGGGTCTACCTAATCTTAGGGCTCAAGAAAGAAGCGGGTTCTCATCCCCTCTTTTAGCATAGCTTGTTTTAAATGAACCTCCAGAATTATAAATAGCAACAAGAACGTTAAAGAAACCTTTTCTTCTACGCCTATATCTTCTCAAAGATAAGGTTAGAGGGCCCCTAATTTCCGGGGCCCTGGTGCACTGCACCACCTGGCCCTACGATAGCTACGCCACTGAACAGGAATAGCTCCTTATGGTATAACAAAAATATGTTTGTTATAACATATTCTTCTATATACTATAGAAGTATTGTTATAATAGATTCTTCTTATATCATTATGATTGGGCACAATCAAATACGTAAATCAAGTGGTTTATTAGTTATTACAGTCAGTAGGTACATCTAATATAAATAAACTCAATAATGCCATTAAATATTTTAGGAAAGCTTTATATTTAATCTTACAAGGTTAGGAGGGATTCAGACTTAATTAAATGCTGTTTTTTTAAATAAGGCGACATTGCATTAGTAAATTCAGATCTTTCGTACAGTATTACTATATTTTTTATCTAAGTCCTAATTTGGTGACTTAAATGTTGTGTTATTTAAATAGTATTAAATTATTCAATGGTAATAAACAGTCGTATTATTTCAAAGATAATCAGATGTGTCACCGGCCTCTGTCACCATAAATTATGCGCAGTTATGTTCGCGACAATGTATCGAACGCTTTTCGTAGAAATCGATTATTCGTAGGCGTTCGTAGCACTAGCGTTTTTCTTTTGTGTTCACATTAAACAACTATTAAAACGAATTATTTAATAATACAATATAAAATTAAACTAGCACTGATAAAATCATGTTTTTACATGTGTTTCCTATTATAGCGAAGCGGTCTTAGCCATATAGCTTTTAAATACTACAACTATAACCCCGACCTATTTTGGCTTCTGGCATTCGGAATTTTGTGCCTAGTGAACTATTAACATACTGTCTATAGTTTACGCGAGTAGTACACATTTAAATAAAACACTTCCCCGTGACCACGGATGCTGCAAAGCATCCGAAACGTCGGACCGAAGTTAAAAATAATT